CACGCAATCCTTACCAGCCCAAGTAGCGCGAAAGCCTGTAGCTTACGAGATCCCGAAGCCGCAAGCATTCCAACCCGAAAGCCGAGGCAGAAGGAGCCAGAAGCTCCTGTGCAAAGCAAGGTCCAGGCCAAGGCGAAGGCCGGCACCTTGAAGGACCCCAGCCACCCCGGTNNCCCCCCCCCAAAAAAAAAAATAAAATAATAATAAAATAAAAAAATAACAATAGTAATAATAATCAAACCCTCTCGTATAATTGTGACTTGCTGCGGCTACTACTACTACTACTGCTGCTGCTGCTGATGCTGCTCCTCCTGCTGCTCCTGTGCCTGCGACAAGCTTTGTTGTCAGCTTGCAAGGTTTCTGGTGAGCATAGGGGCCCTTGCTTTTTGAATTTTTGGAGGCTGTTCTACTCTCCAGAGTCTACATGAGGGTGACTTTGGGATCCAGGGCTCTAGGATTCAGCGGTTTTCAACTTGAGGCTCCAGTTGGTTCAGCACTTAGTACTCAGTACGTGTTCTCACCCCACGACTTTGTGTTGTGCGCATTATCGCACTTGACTCTGTTTGCCATGCTGTTTCCCTCTTCGGCCTCAACCGCTGGACCCCTAAACCCTAGGCCCTACCCATAGGCTCCTAAGTAGTTCCTTTTTATGGTTCATATTTAGAATCCTAAAAAGTTATTCCCAAAAAGGAACTACTAAGGAGCCTATGGGTATAGACCCTAATCTTTCGGCCTCTGAAACCTCGAGCCGCAAGGCCACGCCAAAGCCTGCCGAGAAGGTGCAGCCAAAGATGCCGACAAAAGCGGACACCAAAGCCAAGGAAGAGAAGGAGACTGGCTCTTCCGAGGACCTCACCGGAACTTTCAAGAAGAGCCCTAAGGCCCCAAGGCCCTAAACCCTCACATCGCTAGAAGCTTCTCGGGCTTGGGCAGCCCAAGGCCCGACTATGTGCGCATCTGGGTCTTCAAGATCTGGGTTTAGGGCTTAGGGTTTACTGTTTAGGGCCCGCGGGGTATTTGCGACCTCCACGCAGTCCATCTCATGCCCTCAGTAATTACCTCCAGAACTTAAAAAACCCAAGGCCCTACCCCAAAAGCAGCCCTTTTCCACCACAAACCCCAAAAGCCGCCCAAAACGAATAGAACAAAACCCTAAACGTAACTTCCTTGTAGGACTCCACGGAGCTGCACAGCTCCGACGGCCAAGACTCCCGCAGCTCCTTCTCCGCCTCGGACGAGGAGAGTGGCAAGAGGGTCGAGGCCCCGACATCTCGGGCGATGCATCTAGGGTCAACGGTAAACGATGTCGGTGTGTGAGTGAGAGAGAGTTCATGCATGCGTGGGTGCGTGCCTGGGTGGGTGCGTGCGTGGGTGGGCGAGTGGGTGGGTGGGTGGGTGGGTGGGTGGGCGGTTGAGTGAGTGTGTGTGCTCGTGTGTGTTTGTGCTCTTTTGTGTGTGTTCTCGTAGCGGCTGTGGGGGTTCTGCAATCCTAATCCGAAGCCCCAAGCTTGCGTCGTAGGTTGGGCTTTGTACCCGAAATTGGGGTCCCCGATATAGCACATCACCCTTATAAGACGGACCTTATTTTAGAGAACTACTGCACCAAAATTGGACCCTTAACCCCCGAAGCACCACATCGCCTAAACCCCTTCATCAAATCCCCTTCATCTTCGACCCCGACCTCCCCCCCAAACCCTTAACCGGCACAGCTTAAACCTTCAGCCTTAAATCCTAACCCTTGAAGCCAAATCCTTAAGCCCTTAAGGGTCCTTGAAACCTTCAAGAATCAGGCTGCCGCGCCGGTGTGGAACGACCCCTCCTTCAACGGCGCGCTCGCTGGAGCCCAGATTTTGGCGACTTGGTCGGGGTTCAGGGCCCTGGGGGGCCTTACGGTCTAATAGCCCGAAGCCCTGAAGCCAAAAAGCCGAAGCCCTGAAGCCAAAAAGCCCTAAACCTAAGCCGCCCTAAAGCCCGAATTCCTTGAGACCTCAGACTTGAGGTTCCTGGGTTTAGGGGGTTCAGGGTTTGGGCTCAGGCATTCAGGAGTTTGGGTTGGGATATTCGAGGCTTCAGGGTTCAGGGTATGGAGGGTTAGACGACTGGGGGGGGGCTTATATAGTGTTGATGCACTTGCAGGCTGAGGGTTCAAGGTATTGAGGGTTTAGGGTTTAGGGTATTGCCCTAAACCCTAAACCCTAAGGCTTCAGGGGTTAGGGCCAGTTTAGGGTCAGGGGGTTTTCCAGTAAGGGCTCCTCGAAGGGTGTTATGTGTTTGGGTGGGTTCCAGAAGGGTACTGGAGTGGTTTAGGGTTCAGGGTATGATACCATGGCATAGCCACTTTGGGCGGCTTACTGTTAAGTGCTGCAGGGTATTAGGCTTTGGGGTTTACGGCTCTCGGGCTTTAAGGCAGTGGGGGGTTCCAGATTTTAGTGTTTTTATGGCTTTCGTCTGTTTAAGAGTTTGGGTTTCAGGGCTTGGGTTCCTTTGCAGTTCTTCTTGCTTGCAGAGCATTAAAAGGTTCCTTACTTTGATAGGATATCGTGAATGACTATAGAAGGACCTTAGGTATCCTATACAGACCCCAGAGAAGCCCATCTGAATATGAGCTTCAGGGACATCAGATCAGGCATTGGTCGGGGGTAGTTGGCCCGTTTTCAACATGCTTTCCAGTTTCGCTCCACCTGCAACGATGTCACATCATATCGCGCATCACCTTGCTGATTGACTAAATTGTTATGAGTTTTTGGCATGTGATGTGACTTTCGCCGGTTCGCACGTCACCATTGGGTAGAGCGGCCGTGATGCGACTTTCAACGGAATGAGGCGACTCAGGGCTAGCACCAAGTAGCTCTTTATCATTAACTATGATTGGCATTCTCCGTGGGTTTAGTGTAGTTATCATGAGTGTTGCTACTCTGAGTCCAGATATGCAGTCCCAAAGCGGGACCTTAAGCTTCGACCCTAAGCAGTGCCATTCTATAACAGTTCCAGGACTAGGATTTGGGGTTTAGGGGGTTAGGGTTTAGGGTAGAGGTCTTGAACCTGAACTAGCTTCTACAGCACCCAATGCCCAAGTTGGCCCAGGACTTCCTGCGAAGTGGCCCCGCGCGGAAGGACTGGAGTCTTCATGCACGAGTTTGGTGCTGAATTGCAGGTTTATAAGGTGCAGGATGAGTAGGATGAAGTGCATCACAGGCTTTATAGGGTCTTGCTGCTTTAGGGTGTAGACCAGCTGATTTTAGGTGAGAGGCGGTCATGGGGCTAGCAATGTAGGCCTGTTATCTCTAAACCCACTTCCTCAAATTAAGGTTGGAGGGGATCTGGGTTTTGAGTTTTGGGCGGAAGGCTGCCGATCATGGATAGGGACTAGGGTTTCAGAAAGGTTTACCCTAATCCCTAAACCGTTGGGCTCTTGGCCAATATGCATGCTTTGTAGTTCGTCCTGTTCCTGCAGCAAGACGATGCCTAAACCCTAAAGCCTAACCCCCCTAACCCCCTAAACTCCTAAACCCTGAAAGGAGCCGGACTCCGTGTGGAAGGGCAAGAGCAAAAGCTGGCCGCCCCATGCCCGGAAGTTCACAGGGCGAGGTTCACTATAGGGGCCTTAATAAATACCTACGGTTCCTTTTCATAAGTTTAGTAGAATATGCCACAACACCATATTCTAGTACTAAGGCTCCTGAATTAGGAGTTCGAGGTGTCTTCAGTTCTATGCCGTCGCAAGAAACCAAGCTGACGAGTCTCAAACCTTGGCAGCAACCTTGGCGAGAGTCTTTAGTGTATTCCGCAGTCACTTTTGTCGAAGCGCTGAGCGAGAAATGTCTTGGCAAAGTCCGAAATCCCGCGCCCTACCCTAAACCCCTAAAACCTAAACCCTAAAATTTCTAAATTCAGTGGGCCATACCTGCAGCCGCAATGGAGGAGCCTCAGCGAGCGGTGTATCATTCTCCAAGACACTACACAAAACACGCTTGAGCATCCTGCCACACGCACGACGCGCCAAACACGACTTACGCTAGCTGGTATAGGGGCCTGGTGATATTAGCCCAACCCTAACGATGCTTATCCCGATGTAACCTAAACCCTAAACCCTAAACCCTAAACTTTTCCTGATCCTTCAAGCAATAGTATGGACACTGTCGATGCCTCTGACTATGACCTGCCTGCGTTGCGGGATACCCAGAGAACCCAATACCCTTTAATTAAGGATATACCTTAAATCATAGTAGATTTAGGCCTCTATAAGTTAATGAATATTTCTTAATTGGGTTCTCTGGGTACTTCATGTCTTCATCTGCTAGCGGACTTAGAACAAACCCCCGGTTTAGGGACTGGACTACGGATCAGTATGGTCTCTTCCGGGCCCAAGCAGATTAGGGTTTAGGGTTTAGGGTAGGTTCCAAGTGCGCTACTGCTTGAACCTAGTCCTCGCACTCTTCACCTTCAGACATATACCGCCTCTACCTATGCCGGCAACCCGGAATCCCACTCATCCCTACACTATAAACCCAAGGCCCTAGGCTGTACCCTAATCGCACTTCAGTCTTCGTCATACCAGGACACCTACAGAAGGCCCCCGAGCGCTCATTCAGTCCAGACTGTGAGTCGAAGGTGCATGATCAGACAACCCTATCGGTTGTCCCTTCAAAGCAAGGAAGCGCCCTGAATAACGTTAGGCATATGTCTATACCTATAGACTAAAGAACCATGTATACCCCAAATCCTGGACAAACCCCAGCTTTTTCAACGAGCGCTACAACTACGCTTAACGAATCCAATGCAGTTCTATGGCACCGGAGACACGGCCCTGTACACCCAAAATCCCCCAAGCAGGGTTTAGTGTCTGTTATTTGTGTTACTTTTAGGGCTTAGGAGCCTTAAGCTCCTCGGGGTTCAGGGCTTCGAGAGGTTTCGGGTTCTATCTAATCCCCTTGGGTCCTTAAACCCTCAGGTACCCTAGACTTCCAAACGGCCTGTTTGGGTCTCCGACCCCCTAAACCCCAAACCCTAAACCCTAAATCCTAAACCCTAAATCCTAAACCCTAAACCCCAGGTGCCCTCCAGAGTCCAAGGAGGCCGAGGCCGAAGAAGCAAGCTCCCTGAGAGCAGAGGCGCCTCTCAACCCGCTGCGACGGTGGGTTCTAGGCTTAGGGTTTAGGGTTTAGGGGTTTAGGGTTTAGGGTTTAGGTCTACAGTAGAATAGCCCAAAAGTTGGAAACCCAATAGCCTCTGGGGCCTCAATCCTTAGCAACAGTGATGCATAGGGAATCCCCAGCGCTAATTGTCCTTAATCCGGTTTCTAACTTTTTGGGGTTTGCAAAAGGGCATAGAGTCGAGGGAGTCAGTGTTTTGTTTTGGGTTGAGGGTGTTTGCCTCTGTGGGTTTTGTAAGTTTGATTCTGTCAGGACCTGTGAGGACTATTTGGGGTCTATACCAGGGCACCCTGGTTTCTGAAACTCACCCCACCCCCCTTTTGTAGCTGTTCTTTTGTTCGGATTAGTTCAGGGATCTTCAGCTCAGAAGTTGACGGGCTGAGGAGGGCTGTCGGCGATTTCGGGTGTAGGGTTCAGGGTTGCGCTGTCAGAATGAAGCCTTCGGAAAGATCGCGGCAAAGAGGCGATGCTCTAAGCCGAGCATTATAGCAACCTTATGAGGTAAAGGGTTTCTGGCTTTAGGAGATTATCCTAAACATACACTCCAGAGAATCTCTAACCACACCTCATTCCGCCAAGAAAAGCGAAAACGGAAAAGGCTAAAACCCTAAACCCTACACCCCAAACCTGGCCTGACAGCAGCCTTTTCCAAGGGGGGGTTGAAGAGGGCAGGCTTCGCCGGCGTTAGGGTTTGGCGGTTTATGGATCAGCCAGAGGCTATGACTACTGCAGTTCAGGACTAATGGGGAAGGCAAGATGGTAAAAGGTCGTGGGATCAACCCTAAAACCGCCCTAAATTCTAGGGTTTAGGTTTTGGGGTTTAGGGTTAACCCTAAACCCTAAGCCACCGCCACATTGTGCTGGTGGTGCTGAGCTGGCAATAGCAACTGCTAATTACAAAGAACCTCGCACATCGAAAACTTCAATACGGGGGTCGGAATCATTGGTGTCACTATGTGTGTTATATCCCTCGAATCCTGTTTCTTACTATTGAGGCCCCTGTATTACGTCCCCAACGCCTTCGTATCTTCAATCTTAAGCCGAAGGCTCAACAAGCATGCCCAGACACCGCACCGCAAACCCTAAACCCCTAAACCCTCAAAGCCTTAAACCCCCAAACCCTCAAAGCCCTGAGCCCTAAACCCTAAACCCCCCTCCAAAAAA